ACGAGGAAATGCCAAGGAAAGTTTTACACAGATAAACAAAAATTAAGAGATGCAGGATGGAGTTAGGGTTCAAATGATTCAGGGTTATGCTGTAGTAATGCAAAAAACCATGAAAAAACGGACAAGCTGGCAACCTTAACCCATACTGGATGAACGGAACAAAGAGCATAATTTCACCTAGCTCAAGATTGGGAATGCGATGCTCACCAGGCGTCTTCCATTCCCCCAGTTCTAGTCGGGCAAATAGCCCTGATCGTAGAGCATCTGAAGGTGCTTCAGCTTCGTGCTTGGTGATGGCAAGATCTGGGCTATGGCATCCATCTCCAGCACCTCCAACGCCCTCTTCTTGACAACCTTCTTGGTGGCGGCGCTTGGGTTCTTGCCCTTACTCGTCAAGCAAAACTCTTTTACAGATCTAGGGTTTGAGGTGGACGGCGCTCAAGCAGGCACGAGGGCTTAAGCAGAATGTGAAATGCGATGGAGGAAGAAGACGCAAGGGGTGGTTACCTTTTATACAAGGATTCCACTACCGCGTGGCCTGATAATCACACCAACGGGCACGATGTTTCAATTTCCCTTCCATTTTAATGACACCGCGCGGATTGACACGACGGTTGCACACCTTTTCATGATTTCCAACACGTCAGAATGTGTTCAGACTTATCTGTTGGATTTCCTCTGTCTGGGTACCGGCCACGCTACGACCGTTATCTACACGTCCACATCATGAAGTACCCAGATGATTCTGTAGTACTTGGACAATTGCTTGATAATATGCACTAAACAGCGCAGTACTCAGATGAAGACTTTTTATTCAACAACAGTTCAATGGTTACAAAAGTTGCATACTTTACAAGATTTTTTCAGTCAATAACAAAGACAACATCTACTCGGATATAACATAGTACTCATACTCTAAGTGTTTCTCAGTAGGTACTTTTCTACCCGTTGCGCCTAGATCTAAGAGAAGAGTAATGCATCCGAGTAGATAACAGATGTGCAGTGTGTCCTAGCCTAGAACCTTGGGTAGACTGTCCGACTATGAACATTTGTTGGCTGACTACCCTTGGTAGCATAGCTATTGCAAGAGGAAGCCTGTTGGTCGGTATGAAGGATGAGCTCATCTATACACATTCGGGTCCGGGTATGATCCTTCAAGGACAGACGTCGACAAGCACCCTAGAAGAACTGACATGGGACTGCTGGATGTGCCACCCTACCAGCCGTCATAAGACTTCTTCTAGTTGTAGATCCAGACTACTCTACTATGCATAACTACAGGTTTAGCCTACCTCTAAACCCTCTCACAAGAATTCTTCTAGTCACTACAGCTCTTGGCTATGCCAACCGAGTACTCCTGGGGGCTGATCTACTTCGCTCACCACCATATTTGTAAGCTACAAACTCTGAGCCACTTCGCTTCTTCTATAACTGAGGTTCAAGTACTCGCCAGGGAGGTTTTTATAGGCGTTTTGATGATGTTTATAGATCAGGTTCACACGGAATACACGGACAAGCTACTGACTCTTACACAGGTTCATGTGCTACACTTCAAGGGTACAGTGTACCTCACTACACCTTTTTAGTATACAGGCAGCGTTTTCCCAGCATATGTGAAGTTACAGTACACCCGGTAGCATCTTTGATAGCATATTCTCACGAATATACTGAGCATCTTTGGACCAACGGTACTAAAGCTTTGCATGTGACTTCGACATGTCCTACCTGCTTCTATACAAGCAGACAGAGCAATAATTTTCATTGGCACTCTCATCCTCGAGTATATTTTTTAGATCCTTGTCTCGAGTACAACTACTCGGACATAGGCTCGGGGGCTGCAGGGTACATATCCTCTATGGACGTTTTTTCTTTTAGACCCTCTAACTCGAGAGTTACACTCTGTGAGTGCACTTTTTTGAAAAGTGCACGTCACCCGGAGGCTTTATAGAGCACCTCATGGCTTCACTCACGAAAGCACTCGAATACACTTGTTTCTACCCGGCAAGACCAGGAAGAACAAGAAGGCTTCTGAGTTCAACGATGACACGCTCGGGGGCTTGACGGACCAGGGTCCTAGGGGTTCCCATGGGGGTACTACCCGGATGGGCCCTGGGATGGCCCACGATTTGTTGAAGGATGCGAGACAAGGCGGCGTGTACTTCAAGCTATTCTAGATCAACTTAGTCGGTTTACTATGAAAGCTAGATTCTGTAATAGGACTAGGATTCTTCTCTTGTAATCGACTAGAGAGCCCGAACCAGAATAAATCGTTCGTCTCTTTGCGTTTACTGTCGAGTTCTGCGTACGCCGAACCCCTTTGAACACCGTCCCGGGTAAACCCGTGATGAGTTGCCGGTTATCAAACACCGACATAATCCTAAAGACTTCATCTACTGAAAAAACTTATTAAAAACGATGGATCCCCACTCCCTCCAGTCTCCGGCGATATGCCGGAGGTGGAAGGGGGGGGGACCAGCCGGAGGTGGGAGGGAGGGGGGACTAGCGGTGGTGGTGGCGGCGGCGCTCGAGTCGCAAGACGTGAAGGGTTGCGACTTTGCGATGAGGGTGAAGCGGTGTGTTGTGTATGCCTTTCCGTATAACAAACACAGCCTTAGTTGTAGCCCCAAGGGTCATGTAGGATCAGTTAAAAAAAAGGTGCTCTATACTTATTATTGCAGAAGCTATATATGCTTGGGGAGAGAGAAGATGATCCATGCTAAAAAAGAAGATGGATAGAAAATAAAGGTGGGGTACAATGAAAGAAAAGTTTTTTTTTGCAAACCACAAGTAGTAATAGTTTGTATTGTATAAATAATACTTTTAACGTTTTCTAGTATATGTGGATTACTTTATTTGTACTAGAACCACTAAGAGTGTTAACCTCCATTTGGTGGAGGCTCTGAAAAGAGTTTCTGCAGCTGTAGGTACAGATAAGCTGCAGGCAGCACAGTCAAGTAAGGCCATTTGGTCTGAGCTGGAAAATATTCCAACTAATCAATGTTAATATAAATAAGCTTAAGCCTTGTTTAGTTTTAAAAAGTTTTCTCAAAAAATACTACAGTAGTCATCATATCGAATCTTACGATACGTGCATGCAGGCCCGGTCCTGTCAAATCGGTGACCTGGTGCGGAGCCATAAAGATGGGCCCTTTAATATAGCTATAATATATGCCGTCCCTACCATTGTATCAACTCTTCTATGCTTTTCTTCATTTCTCTTCTCTCACTGTCAAATGTTTGCTTTCAAGAAACATGAGGCCACTGACATTTTAGAACAATTAGCAAGTAATTTACCAAAATTATGCCGTGCTAGATTCAACTTTAAAATCAACAGAGTTAGTACATTACCTAGTTGAGAAATTGAGATAACAATTATTCACTAAATAGTGTAAGGTCACACACTACCCTAGCTGCAGCGTGTGCACAAGCGTCTCAAATCTTGTGTTCCAAAGAATAGAAATTGAAGGAAAAAGCAAATTAAACATTGATTAAATATATGAAATTGAGATCAACAAAAGGATTAGGAGCGATTGGGCAAACATACGTACCTGAATGGGAAGTCTGAAACACCTCACGTATGGACTCGTCACTCGCGTCGTCCGGAATCACGTGGCTGCGGCCGGCTGTCAACGAGGTTGCGAGTTGCGACGAGGCCGCATGGAGCGGCGAGGTTGCGGCGACGGCGCAACGATGCGGCTTCACGGACACTGGATGTAGCGGACGGCTTCAGGCTTCCGTTCTCACGCACGGAGTTGGGCCCCTTTGGTTCGAGGGCCCAGTGCAGGGGCACAGCTCAAACCCCCTAGGGCCGGGCCTACGTGCATGGAGTATTAAATGTAGATGAAAAAAACTAATTGCACAGTTTAATGGGAAATCGCGAGACGAACATTTTAAACCTAATTAGTTCATAATTAAACACTAATTACCAAATAAAAACAAAAGTGCTATGGTAACCAAATTTCCAAATTTTGCGGAACTACTTATCGTTCCAGCAGGAACTGTTCCAGGTAAACGAACAAGCCTAGGTGTTCGCTGCTCTCGTTGCTTGTGATACTTTGGCCGTTGGCGGATGCACTCTTCCGTTGCGTTTTGACCTTGTTGCGGACTCTGCCATCTCTCACCTCTAGGCCTGTAGCCCTGGCTATGACATTGGAGGTTTACCTCGGTTGCAGCTATTAAGTTTATACCTTGTGTAAATCTAGAGCTAAAGTTTAGATGTGCCGTATTGAGATGTCATATAAAAGTGTTTGTATAGTAGTAATAAAATAAATTACAGAAGTATTTAGTACTCTGTCAGACGAATTTTTTAAGCCTAATTAATCCGCCATTAGCACATATTTATTATAGCTTTATTGTAGCACAACATTGTCAAATCATGGAATAATTAAGCTTAAAAAATTCATCTGACAAATTAGTCATGTAATTAGTTATTTTTAATCTATATTTAATACTCCATGCATGTGTCCAAACATCCAATGGGATATGACTCAACTTTAGGGGGAGGAATTAAACAAGGCCGCTTGAGCTACTTTTCAGCCATGTTTTTTTCTCATAACATTTCAGCATAAGTATCAGTATAAGCTAAATTTTAGCATAAACGAAAAGGGTGTCCGGTGAGATACAGACTTTTTGGTCTTATATATAAATCTTTGCTTTACTTGCTTCTCTGATACTGTGTGGTTTTTAGAACTTGCTTCTCGGTCATCTCTCTCTGATACTTTTTGGTCCGCGGGGCTCGTTGGGGTTGCCATGAAAGGAACAAGCCCATTCATTTTCTTTCCTGTACGTAACCATGGGCCGGCCCATCAGTCGTATCCAAAGCCCACTAAAACCCTTGCGAGTTGGGATTGATGGCCATTGTCCCGGACGACGGACAGATCCATCTGGCTCCGGGTCGTCACAAATCTCTCGTCAGTCAGTGCATCGCGGCGGCGACAAGGAGACGAGACGACGAGGCAGGCAGAGCGGACGGCGACTACAGCGGCAGCAGATCTCGCGGGATGGTGAGCCCTCGACTGCCTTCTCCTGCGTAGATCCAGAGTTCTGCTTGGGAGCCCGCTGTGCTGACCCAGGGGGATTCGTGTTTCGCAGGCGGCGAAGGCGATCTCGAGCCCCGTGCCGGTGGAGTGGTACCCGACGCTGGCCGTCGTCATGGTATCCGTTGGCCTCATGTTCACCGCCTCCTTCTTCATGTGAGTCCCCCTTCGTCCGCCATCTGTTACTGCCCCGTATACCTTGCGATTTGGCGGATCGGTCATTCACTTGTCTGGTGCCCTGATCTGATCCGATGTGTTTAGCCGCACTTGCCTGGTGTGCCCTGATGTGATGTGTTTAGCCGCTGAGTTTTATCGGTAGGATGTCGAATTGACCTGTCCGCTCGTTCCCGTTCCGATTGGAGATCTCATCTGTTTGTTGGCTTGATCCGTAAGTGGTAGTATCCCTGTCCCTGTTCTATGCTGCTAGGGTGAAACTCCAATCACGCCAGGGGGCGTCATGGATTACTATTAGTCTCCATGGATGTTTCCAGAATGTTAGATGGCAGTAACATAGGGGTTGATGCTTACTGTTTTCATGAATTGGAGTGTGGGTTTTGCCGAGAACATTCTTGTCTGTGGGATTTTGGGGTGATTTTGAAGTTGCAGCAGCAAGCCAGCAACCAGTGGAATGTGATGCAATTCAGTCCTTGCTATCGTGTAGGTAATTTTGGAGTATATTAGCATTTACTCCCTCCGTTCCAAATTATTAGATACATTGCTTTTCCTATACATCTAGACATAGTGTACATCTAAATGTGTAACAAAAGCCATGAATCTAGAAAAGCCAAAACGTCTTATAATTTGCAACGGAGGAAGTAACTTTATGCTGCATGTTGAAGAGGGATTTCCTTTTTGACCTGTTGAATTTTTTATACTGGGCTTGTAAGTTGTTTGCTGATATAGAACATGCACCATATAGCTTTGTAACTTGAATTAACTATTTACTGGAGAAAAGTACACATACCTTGCCTGACTAGGCATACAGAAACTGCTGCCTGGCTATTCCTGGTTTTGTGGACCTTTATTAACCTCAGCGTCAGTCTCCGTGGTGCTGACCCTGACCAACTGTTCAACAAACTTTTTGTGAATGCAACTGACTATTTGTTTCTTCCTTTTTGTGTGTGAATTCATTGCCTTACTAAATTATCATTTCCGGTCTAACAGTTGTATTAACAAATTTATAAAGATAATGTCTAACACTTTCAGTTACAAGAAGACTCTCCTTGTATATTGTTGTACTTGTTATGGTTGCTTTCATCAGTTACATGAAGATTGAAGACTCTCCTTGTATATTGTTGTACTTGTTTAAAATCCCAAATTTAATCTTATGGTTGTTTTCTTTGGTCAAATATCGCATGCTGGCATACCCATCCTGTATTGTGCACTTTTGCTTTGATTTTGGTCTTGATTTCAATCTCAATTAGAAAAATGTATTTCTTGTGTCGAACATTTCAATTCCGTTGCAATGTATTTCCACCAATTTGTCTGCTCAAGTGCCTACAGTTTTGAGCCCTGATGTCCTGGCCAAGATTGCAGTAACCAAGTAGCAAGTTGCAGGTTCTTTTGTCCAATAGGTGCTTGTTATGGTGGTTGTAGTGCATATCAACATTTGGCAATGGTATGGTGGAAGCAGATGGCAGGGGTTAAAAGGGATGGCGATGTCAAACCTTGTTGCAATGGAGCACATGTGAATGGAATAACTTCTTCCTTCATCTCCCAGATTACCTTATATAGAGCAGGCCCAGTACATTTGGCCTTCATTCAAGCTACTAACACTTAGTAAACCAAATCCAAATCTCCTAACAAACCAATCTTCCATGTAATACTATCTCCAAACTACCAAACTAATCCAATCCTCAAACAAACTAATTCGAAGATAACTTGTGACGGTGATCCTGCTGCTTGTCTGGCTTTCCTGTGACGCCTTTGTTGAGTGCAGTGCTATATGCCACAAATTGACAATTCACTGCTAGCATTAAACTTGACATCTGTTTTATGTTGAAATTGTTTGCCAATAATTGGAATCTGGTTATCTGCCAGGACATAACAAATTATTCCAAAGAAGCAATGGCATGAATTATAAATACCATGAAATGAATGCAGAACGAAGCCGTATGCTTCAAATTTCCTAGATAGATAGTAGAGTTGTTGTAGAGCTTAAATCAGTAGAGCTTTAATGAGGAGAGCAAAGCATGCACAATTCGTTGCTAATGTTTTTTCTGTTTCAGTTATGAAGCAACTTCATCCAGGCGGAGCCGTAGCCTGCCAAAGGAGATCGCAACAGCAGCTGTTGCTTCTGTTTTCCTGGTATAAGCCTTATGCAGAACATTTTTGTTCTACAATTCCTCAGAGCGTTGGGTCTCTATTCCATCCTTAGCTTTTGGTTGTTTTACAATTTCAGAAAGGTGATCGTATCATGCCTAAGTTATCTTTGATTGTTCCACAGGGCTTTGGGTCTCTGTTCGTGCTGCTTGCAAGTGGTGTTTACGTCTGATGACTGGCTATGGACCGTGTGCTTGTGTTCTGCATCCCTGCTGTGACTTGTAGGATATGCCAGATCCTCAAAGTTCGTGTTGTTAACGAATATGGAGACTTTGAACTTATTCTAGAACAATGTATGAGAGCAACCGAGTTAAAGCAATGCTCAGACGTTTTCCTCAGGTCTCCATTATATCATCAATCTAAATCCCAGTTGCCTGAATTGGTGCTTATTACAGCATTTCTGCTTAAATATTACTGGAATTTGTATTTTGCTGTTTTATGCCTTGCATCGTGACTTCGTGAGTGAAGAATGATCTGGATACGGCTTGTGCTATAAGCAGTTAAGCACTGAACATATGATGCTATGATGAATAATTTGGAACATGATTGTTCAAACCTGGCAACGTTGCAAAAGCTACTTCCACAAGCAAAAGATGGTAAAACCCAGTTTCATGTTTTTGGTGCATCTAAGTAGACTCTGAGTCAAACGTATGTGTCAGCTGCCCCCCGTGGGTGGCGGGTCAATGACTCGGGGGTCCTTTAGCGTCTTCAAGCTTTCCCAGTGACCCGATGCTAAGGAAGGCGTATAGAATATATTTAGGCTTACATAATAGAATTTGCTGGTGTTTAGATGCTTTTATAGGGCCTTATGTAGTAAACTAGTAGCACAATTCAATGCAAAAGCAGACTTCGGACCTACATCCGAACTCTTATTTTAGGTACTATTATTATGAATAAGAATAAAGAACCATTCTAATATAAGTTTGGCTATTAGTAGGGCGCTTGGTTCGAGGAATGACTATTCTAGATGAGATGATGTATGTATGATGTATTATGGGCTAAATTTTTGTCATGACTAGCCTATTCCATTCCACGAACCAAATAAAAAGGTGAGAGTAAGAAGATGATAGACTAATTTATTCCTCAAACAAACATCTTATAAGGGCCTATTAATTTGAGAAGGCTCCGCCTGTGTGGCTTTGGTGCAGGAGCTAGAGCCCCCACAACAGCCGCTTTTCAGGGCTGCACTGAAAAGGGCTCTGGGGCTCCTCCCATTTACGCTAGAAGTGCTTTTTGTTACTGCTGTGGTTGGTGCAGCTCCACCAGCACCGGTGTGGGAGCCTGTCGACTAAATATCGTCGGCAGTCCACCGAGGGGTATATCTACGATGGTAGATTGACCGGAGATGTGCGCGTGAACAGGAGCAAGATGGTGACAGAGACACAATATTAGATAGGTTTAGGCCGTCAGCTCGACGTAATACCGTAGTCCTATGTTCTGTCGGTTTGTATTGGCTATCGTATATGACTGAATGAGTTTTGAGGGGTCTCCTACCCGCCTTATATAGCTATGGGGTAGGGTTATATGCCGATCAGGTCTAAGTTTAATCGGGTAAGATACAATCTTTACAAGGAATCGAGTATTCGACGTATCCTAACAGATTCTATGCTATCTTCAGGATATCGCCAGGATGTCTTGCGGCGTGCACCGAGCAGTGCCGTACGTCGCAAGTCTTCATCTTGTGGGCTGGACCGTCCCTGGTAGTACAATCCATGTCTTGCGCCGTGGGTACCTAGTGTCGGACGCCCCCACAAAGCCACACCAAATTGATCCTAAATGTCTTAGAAATCTAGCTAATATATGTCTTCTTTTTATTTTCAGGTACCGATATATCTTTCTTTTTCTCAAACACAATACAAACGTAAGCTCACATACATGTACGCACGTACACCCAACTCTATAAACTTACGTGCACATACTCTAATCATCTCCAACAGACTAGGTCGACAAATCTTGAGTTTAACGAAATCATCACATCCACTGACACCCAAGTGTACATGTTCCACCGTAATGAACCTAACTATGTAATATTCGTGGATACAGATATATCTACGTGCATTTGTGATTTCACTTTTCGCATCAATACAAATATTTCGAACTTGAATGCTGCTTTGTTGAATGAGAAATCGGACAATGTGGAATATATTGGCCTCTTTGGAATGTAAAAATTTTACATGAAGAAATCAGTTCATTTTCACAGGAAAAACGTACAAAACAGAAAAAAAAAATCATGCAATCCAAAGCGGGCCCTCAGTTTCCATCCGGGTTTGTCTGATGTCAACGACAAGTCACAACCACTCGTACTGCTCGCCTCTACTCAGCGCAGGGAACTTTCTTCTTAATTGCTTTAACGGGCTTGTCCATCTTTTCCAGATGCAGCATCCCAGGCCTTATGTCTTCTCCAGGTTAGTCTTAAACCTTGCTATCCGAGTGTTTGAGCATCTTGTTTCTTGAAAAGAAAAATGATTTTGGACCTTGAAGCAGTACTGTCCATGCTTTGAAGTATGAACGCTGTTCAGATCCAAAAATTAGTTGGCTCGTACTCTAAAAAGAGTTAGTTGGTTCTCATAGTATTGGGCTGCTAGCTTCTTTCAACACAGATCTTTGCTTTCTAGATGAGTAGCAGCTGCACGGCTGCACCGCAGCAGAGTACTGCCCTTCAAAACTTTTCCTTGGGTATTCATCTAACTACCAGATGATGGATTTGTTTTTTTAGCTATACTTGAGAGGAGTCTACTTGGAGCTTAGTACATATATACAACTGAAGCTGTGTAGCCGCATGTTGGGGTATTTAATTATTTATTTATAGAGGAGATGCAATTCCTAGCCTTACTCTTTTTGAAGGTAATAACCTTTATACTCTTTGTGTAACTATTTATCACGACGAGTACAGTAGAACTAACAACTTGTCTTTGTGGTTGCTCGAGTATTTTGACATAACTTATCTTGTCTTCTTTTATACAGCTTTCTTGGTTTGGTGAAACCATTCATACAGAAGTTTTATGATTTACTGAAGGCATCCTGCACACTGGGGAAGACAAACACATGTTTGTGAAACTGATTTTGAAGTCAGGATTTTGCTCAAAAGGAAATGGGCAGTGAGTTCAGCAGTTGTGATAAGCTGGAGAGCATGTTACGACATGGAAGTTCAGGACCACGCAATCTACCCTTGGAATATTTGAGAAACATCACAAACAACTTCTCTGATGATCGGCTACTTGGTGAAGGTGGTTTTGGCACAGTATATAAGGTAAGATTCAATCACATATTTCGGACCTGTCATCAAATATGTCACAAGACTATTCAGAGACTCGCCTCTTTTAATATAAGAGAGTTTAAACAGGGAGTGCTACCAAATGGTGAAACGATTGCTGTGAAGAAACTTAATTCGTCAATGCCTGGAGTTATAAGGATAAACAATTTGAGAATGAAGCATACCATCTTATGAGGCTTAAACACCCAAATATAGTGCTACTTGTAGGCTGTGTTCTGAAACAGAGAATAAATATGTTGAATACAATGGGAAATATATTTGGCCTGAGAAATCGGAAAGGTTGCTTTGTTTGGAGTACATGCCTAAAGGAAACCTTCGTGAGTATCTTTCTGGTATAACAATTCAATATGGTCTTATCTTGTTCATTTTCTATTACTTAGACTGTAGTCTATGTGGTCTCAGTATGCCCATTTATCAATCATATAACACTTTAATAATGGTGTGGTACAAATGCAGACGAATCTTCTGGACTTACTTGGGAGACACGGTACAAAATAATCGAGGGCATTTGTTATGGCTTACATTATCTCCATGAAGCATGGCGACCTAATGCCCCCATTATTCACATGGATCTGAAACCTGCAAACATATTGCTCTGACAACAATTTGGTGCCTAAAATTGCGGACTTTGGCTTGTCTCACTCTTCAGTGAGGAAAAAACTTGGACTTGCACAATGAGTCGTGAGGGAACATTGTGAGTCAAATGGCTATTGATAGCTTGTTTTGGAGATTGCTAAAACGAATATTCTACAGTTGTCTCAAGGCTTCAAACCCGTGTTGCAATGCAGGGGTTACATGGCGCCAGAATACATAAACAGAGGTTTAATCTCAACAAAGTCAGACATATTCTGTTTGGGTGTAATAATCATAGAGATAGTGACACAGACCGGAATATCTTCCAAGGAATTTACTGAGCTTGTAATAAGAAAACTAATTTCAGAATTCAAGGCGGAAACACTTTCTTTAGAGAGATGATGTTACTCTTTTTCCTCTGTATTTTTTTTCAGGTATTAAAGAACTGGAGAGATAGGCAGCAAAAATCGCTGAGATATATACCACATTACCAGCAAATAAGAAGATGCATTCAGATAGGTCTGGACTACGTGAAACTTGATTGGTGGAAAAGACCAACAATAGACCAAGTTACCAAGATGCTTCACCGAACAGAAAGTGTAGACTTCAGGGGCAGAAAGGCGGCAGAAAAGAAGGAATGCCAATCATCAAGAAAGATGAGGAGATACACGCTACCGCTCGCCTGGAGTTGGATCGGCGGCTTCGCTCGCTGTCGCTGGGTCCGCGCCCCGAAAATAATGCTCCCTCGACCTCGGTGGCAGCGGCGACGGGGGCTGGGACCTCCGCCCCCTCGGCCAAAGCCTCGGCTTTATCCGGGCCCGACGACTTCGCCACCCCGATTACCGATTGGGAGGCGCACAAGGCCCTGTGCCCCAGCTCTGATCCCCCCACCCCCTCGCTCACCCGGCCAGATGTGAAGAGTGCGGCAGCTGGGGACGGAGGAATCAAGGGCGTGCGCCCGCCACCGCTGATCAAGCCGCCATCCTCGATAGCGGTGCCGGTTGTCTTAGGGTCGGGATCCACGTGGGATGTCATGCGGTCGTTCACGCTGGATGAGCCAGAGCGCGCGCCGGCGAGTAGACCTGCCCGTCGGTTTGGACACCAGGATGCGGTGGACAAGGACGAGGTGGAGAATGCGGTGGAAGACCCTAGTCTCGGGGAGTCGTCCGAGTTCTGGACTGCTGATTCTTCGCTATCGTCGCCCAACGGTGACGAGACTTCAAGTAGGACCGTCGAATCCAGGTTCTGTATCTCACCAGGGAGGTTTAGGAGGAAGATCCGGCCATGGCGCCGAGGGGTACTCCTGGGCAGTGGTTCGTTTGGTACGGTCTATGAGGGCAGCAGCGAGTAAGTGCTCTAAAGTAAATTCAGTTGCTCTTCCGTGCTGTTAACATTCTACGCCTGTCCATACGTTAACAGAAGACTTCGATTAAGCTGGCTTTTACCGAACCGATTCTGCAGCTGATTGGAGCTTACTGGCTCCATTTCTATACGCTAAGAAGAAACAGGAACTAACCACTATGTACAGCCTAGTAGTAATAGAATTAGTTACATGGGAGCATGACATATTAGTGTGGCAGGCGGACATGGGGCTCAAGCCTCCCTACCCATATCGCACTAGTGGAACCCTTGTGAGCCCTCATGAATTTTTAGGCAAAGTTCTATAGTGTAGAGGGGCGGAGACTTAAGATCTAACAGCAGTGTTATTCACCCTCTCTGAAATATTTTCTAGGTCCGCCGCTGGGTGAACACAGAATAATTCGATAATTAATTGATTTTTTCTGTTCTTTTATAACACGATTTTTTATTTAAATTTAGAAATGAGTCAAAATTTCCTTTCCCCCCCATCTCTTGTGTTTTCTTTGGTCATACTATCTTGGAATCTTGGATATCCAGCTTTAAGAACAACATACCCAAAATTGTTACCCTGGATGAAGCCATACAACATTTGTTCTTTACTTTTCCTGCCATGCGCAATATGGATGGCTGCCTTCACTATGTAGCCTGCTCTAGCATTTTCCTGTCTCAAGTCTGAAGTACCTTACTCTCTGTTTCTGCATCATATATGTTCTCAGGGAGGGTTTCTTCATTGCTGTCAAAGAAGTAAACTTATTTGATAAAGGGAGCAACGCGAAGCAATGTATCTTTCAGCTTGAGCAGGTAGAGCTGTAATCTATTATTGGAAGTTTCCCAGGTTATTTTTGTGGGCTTCCACTACTATCTTCTGAGGCTTGACCCCTTAGCCTGTGTGCTGTTAATTATCCTTAAGAGGGATGCGCTAGCAGACTATGACTGATTCCCTCAAAAGAGCATAAGTTTTCAAAATCTGACCTCTTCTACCTTGTTTAATCTTTTCAGGAAATTGCACTTTTGAGCCAGTTTGAGCATGAGAATATAGTACAGTACTATGGGACAGATAAAGTAAGTAACTTCAGTTTATCACGTTGATATAATATATATTTTATGCACATAAATTCATTGTATTCTTTGTACCCCCTCTATCCATGCTTAGGCTATGACCATCCAATTGTGTGGTTGTATTGCAGGAAGATTCCAAACTATACGTCTTCCTTGAACTAGTGACCCAAGGATCCCTTGCATCTTTGTATCAAAAGTATATCCTGCGAGAGACTCATGTCTCTGCATATACAAGACAGATCCTTTACGGGTTGACTTACCTCCATGAAAGGAACATTGTTCATAGGTGATGAAATTAGTTGAAGTTCTTATACCTATAAATGCTGTCATTTGGTGTAACAAATGAGATTACTGGAAATAACAAGGTATAGGGTGGGCAATTATGTACCCATTAGTTTAAATGAGAACCCTTCAAAGCGATGCCCCAAAACTGTGTTTTCTTCATTGATTTGAAATTTGAAAAGTATTGCAGAATCATATCAATATGTATATTATGTATATGTTCTGAACTATAGCTTGAAATCTGATCTTGCAGAGACATTAAATGTGCAAATATCTTGCTGCATGGCAATGGATCTGTGAAACTTGCAGATTTTGGACTCGCTAAGGAGGTTTGCTTGCACTCTGCAAAATTTGCATAATTTCTTTGTTCTATTTATCCATCACCACTTTTCCCTGAAACAATATTGTTTTATCAACTCCCTTTCAGATTACCAAATTCAATGCGATTAAATCATGCAAAGGAACTATTTATTGGATGGCACCTGAGGTAACCACCCTAAACTCTCCATGCATTTGTGTTCATCTTATCATTATGTTTTTCTTCAATAATTTGTCTAGAATAAGCATCTTGAAGTAATAGGCATAAAGTACTGAAATATACTTGGGAACTCATGACTTTCTAGAATAGGCATAATTTGTCCAGAGCTTGTGTGAGCAACTCATGCCATGAAGTGAAGTGGCTCGGAGATGTTGCAAAGGCTCACACTTGTGATGAAGGAGCTCATTGCATATGAGACATGACATGGAGTCATGTGATCAAGGTGGAGAAGATCAAGACAAGACTTGGCTCGACGGACCGGTTGTAAGTGTGAAGGGCAAGTTGAGTGATGACTTGGCGCCGATGGACTGAGGCAACGGTGAAGAGCAAGTGAAGTCAAGATCGATGAACCAATACGGTCACGTGATGATATGAAGTGGATCACATCATTTGGTGATTGGTTGGTGCATGTGTTGCATCGACACCGAAGGAGATGAAGTGGAATGCGCAAGGCAAAGGTATAACCTAGGGCATTTCATTTCACGGTCAAAGGTTATGTAGAGAAGTGCATGACCGGGTTTAGGACAGATGGCCGTACTATTAAGAGGAGAAAACTTGTTTACATATCGGTCATCTAGTGCCACTTGAGCGATCTAACCTTACATACGTGTTAGGATCGAGTGGCGTGGTGAATTGAGTGACTAATCCTTTGGAAAAATGTTTGTGAAAAGCTAACACACGTGCATAAGGTGGTGATCACTTGGTGGTGTTAGCACATTTGCAAAGGTAAAGAAGTTGGTGAAGAAGTGGAGGAGAAACCGGGCTCGGGGTGCTGCCTAGGTGGCACCGCCACCCCTGTGGCGGTGACCGGCTAGGAGGCCGAGAGCAACGTGTTGCCCTGAGGGCACCGCCATTGGTTGTCCGGTGGCACCGCCAGCCCTAGGGTGGTGCCCACCTGGACTTGGCCAAGCGTAGCAGGAGTCGGGGTGGTCACCGGAAGTGACGGTGTGCACCACCATCATGAGGGCGGTGCACCGCCGGGTGTTGTCCGGTGCAACCACCGCTTTTCGGCAGAGAGCAAGGGAAGTGGGCTGGTTACCACCATGGTCACCGCCATGGTGACGGCGGTGCACCGCCCTATTTTTCCAGAGAGAAGGGTTTTTGGGGTGTTGGCCGGAGTGGCACCGCCACCCCCTGTTCGGTGCCACCGCCGCCTGTCCGGTGACCACGACTAGTCAAGCTAGCCGTTGGATTCGACCATTGGGGGCACCACCACCCCATGTCTGGTGACCGCACCGTCGTGTCCGTGCCCTCGCAGAACGTGCAACTTTGCTTCAACGGCTCTATTTGACTTGGGGGCTATAAATAGAGGTGGAGCTCGGGCACTTAGTTGGTTGAGCACCTTGGGAATGTGTTGCCCTTGTGTGTGCTTTGTTTGAGAGCCCTCTAACTCACTTGTGCTTGCAAGAGTGCTATCCAATTGCGAAGCGAGCGATTTCTAGTGCGTTGCATTGAGTGACTGCATCGAGTGGCACTAGGTGATCGAGTTGCAAGCCAGTGGTGCTTGTTGCTCTTGGAGGTTGCCACCTCCTAGATGGCTTTGTGGTGTGATCTCCATCGAAGCACGCAAAGAAGATTGTGTGGTGCTCCGGAGAAGTGATTTGTGAGGGGGATTGTGCTCACCCCGCGGGAGCCGCAAAGAGCAACTCTAGTAGAGTGTGTCATTGAGCTACCCTCACTTTTAGGGTAGGTTCTTGCTGTGCTCGATGTGCGGGCTTGGCGGGTGATGCCAATTAGCCACCGAACCACTAAGTGAGCGGTCAACACAACGAGGACTAGCGTGTTGGCAAGCACGTGAACCTCAGAATAAAATCATCGTGTCAACCTTGTCATCCCATTGGTTTGCATTTCTGTCACACAAGCTTGTATTTAATTTCATTTACATTATGCTTGTATAGTTGCTCTTGTGACTAGTTTAGCTTTAGTAGCTTGCTAGTTACCTTCTTGCTTGTGTAGCATAGAAGTAGCTCCCTTGCGTGGCTAATTTGGTTTCAGTAACCTTGTTAGTCACATTGCTTAGTTTGTGTAGCTAAGTAATTTGCGTTCGCTAATCTTGCATTGAGTATTGCTAGTGAGCTTAGGAGCTTTGTACTTTTGCTTACTAGTTGTGTAGGAGCTCCCCCGTGCTTGAAGTACTAGTGGCATAAGTTTATGTGACCTTGCTCCTAGAATTGGTTAGGTGAGCTCTAGCTAGCCCGGCACCTTAGTTGCTTGTTTAGGATCTTTTCAAGATGCTTGATAACTTAGATAGAGGGGTGTAGTCTTGGCTAGACCGATAGTTTTAATTTTGCATTTGTTTCGGTTAGTTAGCGTGATTAATTATAGAAAGGACTATTCACCCTCCTCTGGTCTGCCATCTTGACCCTATATGAGGGGAGAGGGCACTACTACAGGAAACTTAACCGAGGCGGGCAAAAAGGATTAACCGAGGCGGTTTTTGGAACCGCCACGACCGAAAGGTCACGGTTAATCATGGCCTTAACCGAGGCGGTTGCCCTGCCCGCCTCGATTAATTGAATAAAAAAACAAAAAAAAGAAAACTCGTGGATAAGCTCGGTGAGCCCATCCATGGGCCTGCCTAGCCCATCCACATGCCACCACGGCTGCACACCGGATCTAGATGTCCCTAAGCTGGATCTGCAGCTCCCCTGCCGGATCCGCCGAGCCAGAGCCGGATCCGCCGCTCTCGTGCTGGATCCACCACGCCGGAGCTGGATCCGCTGCGTCGGAGCTGGATCTGCAGATCCCTAGCATGAGCGCCGCCATCATTGGAGGATGGGGCTAGGTCCTACGTGACGCCGTCGCTAGAGGAAGGGGGCCAGGCCCCGCGCGCCCGCCAGGAGGCTAGCCTCACTCTTGCTGGGGTGCCGTGTGCCCGCCTCGCTCCCGTCGGGAGGCCTGCCTCGCTCTCACAGGAGGGCCGCACGATCGCCTAGTGGCCCACCTCGATCTTGCTGCCACCGTGGGGCCTGAGAGAGAAAGGGAGGGAGGGAAGGAAGGGGCGCCACCGCCAGTCGCCGTGCTCTACAGGGAGGGAGAGGAGCCGTGCTTAGGGAGGGAGGGGTGCCACCGCTGGCCGGATTCGGGAGGGAGGAGGAGGGAGGGTGCCACCGTCGGCCGGATCTGAGAGGGAGGGGGGAGGGTGTCGTCTTCGATCGGATCTGAAAGGGAGGGGGAGGGAGGGGTGCTACCGCCGGCCGGATCTGGGAGGGAAGGAGAGGGAGGGTGCCGCCGCTGGCCTGATCGGGAGCTGAGGGAGGCGTCGAGGCTGGGGAGAGGAGTCGGGGCTGAGGGAGGGAAGAGGTAGCTGAGGAGTCGAACACGGCGTGTGTGAGAAAGAGGGGTGAGGATGAGAATGAGAAACCCTAACTAGCTTAAGTGTTCGTATATATACCTTGAAGCCTGATATTGGCCTGAGACGGGCTGATATTGGGCCAGTATTTTAGGAGGCGGGCCTTATAGTGTGCCCACCTCCGAAAATAGATTTACCATCGCCTCTGTTAATATCGATTAACCGAGGCAGTTGTTTCTATTTACCAAGGCGGTTACGTTACAATGCCCGCCTCGGTTAAGCATTAACTGAGGCGGTCGCTGGCCCGGTTGCCCTGTCTCGAATAACCGAGGTGGGCAACCGGGCCGCCCGCCTCCGAGGCCATTTTGGAAACACTGCGCAAAAGATTTTGTGTAGTAGTCAGGATTGTAGGCCAACTTGTGACAAGAAACAGAACCAGAATTCTCTTGTGAAGACATAGAGAATGAGGAGATGATCAACGGTTTCTGCTACTTGGTCACACAAAGGACAACACTCAGGGTGAGGGAGACCCCGACGAGCTAAGCGATCCGCTGTCCAACATCTATTATGAGCAACCAACCATAGAAAGAAATGACATTTGGGTGGTACCCAAGTCTTCCAAATCTTTTCCCATGGCCCGAAAAGAGTAGATCCCAAAAACAGGCCCTCATAAGCTAATTTAGCGGCACGAATCTCATCGAGAGAAGCACAAAACATTAAGATATTAGGTAGAAAAAACTAGGGTTTAGAGAATAAAAAGGCTGGGTAATATTTTTTTTGCTTAAAAGGAAATGGACAGTGAGTTTAGCGGTTGTAATATGCTGGTAAGCATGTGAAAGTACAATTAAGCGCTAATTGTGGGTTTTGGTAATAATGACCACGCAATTAGAGAACTAATGAGATTTATCGAGATTACAAGCAGGGAATTTATATTCGATGATGCTACATGAAACGGAGGAGTCCCTAATTACAAATGTAGATGGCTTCAAACTCAAAGAAGGTTTAAATTCTTTTATATTTTGAATTTGAGTATAGAAAAAGCCGTACTATAAAGTGGGACACAATACTTAAGCTAATATGTGCTACCAAGTGGTCAAACATACACATGCATCCTCAGATTCACAGCCAAGACAGTCTATACTTCACTCTTACCCTTGCTGTCTTGCATGGTGCGGCAC